TTCAAAAATTCCATGAGGATAGATTAAAAAAAAAACCTTTGGTGGAACTTTTTAAATTTTTTTGGGTAAATTTCATTGGGTTGGTTTATATGGAAACTTTGATAAAAATAAATACAAATTTTATATTCTTTCATATGATCTTTATTTCTTACTTAATTTGTATGATAAACTAAAAAAAATTGAATTCAAAACATAATCAAGTCAAATGTTATACAATATTAAAAATAAAAAAAAAAACTATTTACTCGAGATATATGAAACTCAAACGTCTATCACTCTCAAACGTTGAGTAATTATGTAAAAGAAATAAAGAATGGCATAAACTATCTGATTTTTTTTTTACTCATGATCCCATGAGTTTTACGTATTCAAGAACAAAATCATCTTGAAACAGCTTCACATATTCATAAATTTGAAAACAAACTCTTAACTTTTTGACAAGTGATGTTGAGAATAATTACATAAATGGTTTTTCAATTTATATCATAAATTTTTTTAACAAACTTATGGTTTTCAAATTAATGAATACATATAGATCATAAGAGTGAAAAAATTTAATAAATATCATGTCATTTATCTAAATACTTAAATTTATAATTACACTTTAACTGACCATAATAATAGATATAAATGTTTTCAATGTATGAATACAAATCTTATTGGTGAGTTGAAAAATAGAGAAACAATTAAAAATAGAACACTAATTTTATGTAGAACTAATGGTGTTGGTGAACCTAACTTGAACACCATATGAAATCACAAACCTAACTTGAACACCAAATGAGAAAACTTTTGTAGATATTTTTACTATATGGACGATAGCCTGAAATAAAGAGAAAGCAACTAAAAGTCAATAAAAAATAAAAGAACGGACTGGAAAAAGCAAAAACTCTACAATAGTTTTTTTTAGCTTCACATGTGGGTAATATATAGAAGTAGACTTAGCGTACATGTTTGTGAATTAATTGGATTTAATGTTTTGAATTAATTAGAGTTATTGTGGTTATCTGTTAGCCTAATCACTAATGCATCAATTTAGAGTTATTTGTTTTAATAAGTTCATTTGTGGGTTTTACTTTGGGTAACTAATTCTAGAACAAAAAAAAAAAACACTAATATATTTCGGTATTAGAAGCAACATGAAAAGCGTTACTGGAGAAGAAAACTCGTCGCAAACATTTATTTTGAGAGAATGCGTAACACATGGAGCAATACATTAATATAATGCACGCTACTATATTTCTTTATTAAAATTACATTGACTGTTATATAAGTTAGAATTTCATTCACTGAGACATTTATAAAACAATATATGGGATGACATATTAAATTTAATAATTCCTGTAAATTATATTATACTATATAAATACATTAAATGTATTGTGTAATAAAAATTGTAAATAAATACTCCAACTTGGAGTTGTAACGTGTGAGAATAAATTGGTCTTATAAACTTTTTTTAAAAAAAAAGTTAGATTGGAAAGAAGAAAAAAAAAAGAGACAAATTAGAAAAGATTAGAAATGTATTTTATGGAGATATTAAAATATTATGTAAGATAGAAAAATGAGGAAAACAATTAAATTTAAAAATAGATGCCAAATGTACAAATATTATGAGAAGTTTAAAAAATGTACTAATATTTTGTGAAGTTAAAATTTTACTGATCTATAATTTTGAATCAGATGAATAAGTGGTGATTTTAAGTAGATAATAGTTTTGGCAAAACAAATTAGATACAAATTTCAATTTAAATACATGTCAAATGTATCAATAGGATAAGAGAAATAACTTCTTTGGAATTAAATTATAGGCACAAACTTTCAAACCTAAGTTTAAATAAATTAAAACAAACGTTAATAAAATGAAGGAGGACACATGTCACCAAAAGAGAGTGACAAATGTCGCAATGGTAGGTAAAGTTAGAAGAAAACCTTCTCATATTATATAAGATATGTAAGATAGAAAAATGAGGAAAACAATTAAATTTAAAAATAGATGCCAAATGTACAAATATTATGAGAAGTTTAAAAAATGTACTAATATTTTGTGAAGTTAAAATTTTACTGATCTATAATTTTGAATCAGATGAATAAGTGGTGATTTTAAGTAGATAATAGTTTTGGCAAAACAAATTAGATACAAATTTCAATTTAAATACATGTCAAATGTATCAATAGGATAAGAGAAATAACTTCTTTGGAATTAAATTATAGGCACAAACTTTCAAACCTAAGTTTAAATAAATTAAAACAAACATTAATAAAATGAAGGAGGACACATGTCACCAAAAGAGAGTGACAAATGTCGCAATGGTAGGTAAAGTTAGAAGAAAACCTTCTCATATTATATAAGATTACGGGTTTATTTGAAGTCTGAATATGATAATTATATTTTTGTTGTTAATTATAAACTCCACAACACGTAAGATTATGGGCAAGGACGGAAATGTAAACATATGTTTTGGCACTTACAGAACATGTTGGTTGAAGTAAGGCTTGGCATCTATGATGAACGACGATTATATATGTATGACTTATTTGAATGCTTTATTCATATCTTCTTTTGCATTGATGCCTTATAATTCTTTTTAATAACATTTGAATAACAAAAAATTTAAACTAGCCAGTTACAAAATTATTCGAATGGTAAAAATTTAGATAGTAATTCGAAGTACTTCACTTTTGGAAGCGATATCGAGTGAATTACCCATTTATATTTGAATTCAAAGAAGGAACAGAGCTTGGTTACGGACATGATCTGCTTCTAAGCTTTGCTTTGGCCTCGGCACGCTTGTTCTCTGCACTTTCTTGTTAACCTGGACATGGAGATAGATCCTAATACTATGACTACAAGACCATCACTGAACTTGTTCCCCTTTTTGTTGTCGCGGTAAGTTGTTTTTTTTCTTCTTTACAACCACACATCTATTGTTAATGTAGTAAGACAATGTTTTTCAGTTAGTGATAGCTATTTCTGTATGTCCCTTCAACATATTTTATCGGTCAAGCCGCTTCTTCTTCATAGTTCTATTCCGGTGCATTGCTACGCCGCTCTACAAGGTATATTACTCAAGCACATCCTCTGTTTTTGCTAAGTGAAATCATCGATAAATCTCTCAATATTGTTCTCATCAATATTGCAGGTCAATCTTCTAGATTTGTTTCTAGCAGACCAAATTAACAAGCCAGGTTTGTGTGTTACTTATCATAAAAATTCTTCTCACTTTCATAGACCATCTAAATATATATAGAAATCCAAACAAGCTCCCCATAGAAAAAGATTCTTACGTAGACGAAATAATTGAAGATTGATGGAAGCTTTTGCTTCTTCATCTTATGTGATTAGAGAGATCCTTTGTTTGGATGATTAGTTAGGCTATAGTTGTAGATTACTTTTGTAATGTGTTAGCTGTAGCTGTAAGATTTTTTCTGTACTTCTATCGGTTATAGATGTAGTAGATTTTGTTGTTGTAAGATTATGGTTATAGGTATTTTATAATAAAAATGATTGGATAATTTAAATTTTTGTTAAATATTTAAACTAAAGAAAAATTAGTTCATTTAGTATCACATATATATTTTATTTATTTTCTTGTTTCTACTGACAATTTCCTTCTTTTTTTTTTTCTAGTTTTATCACAATTTTTAAAGTAATATTAGAATTTACAGCAAAAAGATAAGACTTTAGAATTTTTAGTTGCTAGTTGCTACACTAATTAGGGCTTGATTGGTTTAAACGCAGCGGTTGCGGTTGCAGTTGTGGGAGTTTGTGGAAGCGGGAGTTTACAGAAGCGCGCAGTTGCGGTTTCAAGCCTTAGTTAGCGTTTTGACCGACTGGTTTATCGGTTGAAAACGAGTGCGTTTGCGGGAGATTTACGACTGGTTGATCAGCGGGTACCATAACGGTTAAACCAAAATTTATCAAAATAAATGTATTATATAATTGTGAAAAGTATAAAAACACCAAAAACTATATTTATGAAAAAAGTATAAAATTTTTAAACTTGATGAATAATTAAAAACCATAAATAATTATTCGAATATTAAACGAATATATTTTATAGTGAAACAAAAATAATTATTAATATTGAAAAATTAAAATTAAAATTAAATAATGATTATTTGTTTTAGAAGTAACATGAATATATTCAAGATTTGATAATATAAATTTAATTTGTTGATTTTCTTTTTTAGTTTTTTTCCTTTTTTAAACCAACCGCAACCACAAACGCTTGCGGGAATGAGTTTTTGAAATCCAGCGATTTCGAGCGGTATATATGGAGCGGTGTCTATGATTGGTACCAACCGCTAACAACCGCAACCGATCACTAACAACCGGTAGGCGGATCCTAGCGGGAGAACCAATCAAGCCCTAATACAACTTTGTTTATTTAGAAAAAGTAAAGAATGTAGAAATGACTTAGAGCCCAACCAATCACAAACATTGTAGTTCCAAAAACTAAGTTTTTGCCAAATTCATTATACATCATTCCTTTTTGGGGTGAGAAAAACTACGTTTTTGCCAAACTTCATTATAAATAATACCTTTTCCTTTCCTCTGTATATACCATTTTTAATCCAGCCATTTTCCTTGATTATTATACAATTCGTCGAAGATTAGGTTTTCAGAGAACACTACAACGACAAGGTGAGTGCATTGTTTCACTACAAGAAAAAGGGCTTTTCGTAGCACCCGAATAACGCTATCTAACGATACTATAGCGTTTTGACAAGCGCTATTTCTGCGCCCGTCATAATAGGTCAGACACTTTAGATAGCGCTTTTTTGTAATGCTATGTAACTGTTATATACAATAGCGCTTTTGTAAATGCAATTAAATATTATATAATAGCGTAGTTATGTTGTTATGAATAATATTATTAACAACGTTTTAGGCAATGTTATGTTAATTATTAATTTATAATAGCATTATATTAAATTTTTTTATATTTCTGTTTTATATAATTTGAATCGATATAAAAATATTAAAATCTGGGTTTATTTTATCAAATACTTCATTAATTATTTGTTCCAAAAGAGTCAAACATAAGTTTTACATTTTTAAACACTTAGTTCAAAAGTACTAAAACTCAAATCACATGAATATAATCTTGTCATTAGGCCAAGCCACAGTGGTTCCTACTGCATCAGCAATGAATTTAACTTCAGAATTTGCTCTCCACACTCGTGCACCCTCAACCTTGGAAACCTCTACCCAGACCTTGCTAGCGTTGGCACCTAAAGGGACTTGATGGACCTTCTCTGCTGGATCAGTTGAAGACACCCGACCTATTGCAACTCTCTGCCCAGTGTTATCAATATCTAATAGAAAACACTTCTGCTTAGCACCTTTGCTACTAGCAGTGCTGGGAGTAGTAGAACTGGGAGTAGTTGCACTCTAAAATCAAACATTATAAAAAGAATTACATCAGACTAACATCACAGCAACATCAACACAATCCAATACAACATGTGACTACCCTAAGATTTCCAAGTTTAAGTATTCATACCATTTAAATTAAAAACTAGTTGCAGAGAAACTTACTTGAGGTGATTTTCTGGTTGATTCATCATTTGCAGGTACATCAAGGAGTTGTATTCTATCAATAGGCCATGCGATGGTCTCATTTAGTGCATCACTCATCAATGAGATTGGAGGATTTGGTCTCCACAGATAAGCCTCAGGTTTAACCACCTCCAGGACCTTAACAACTGCAGCACCATGTCCCAGAGGTCTACCATCCACCAATTCATTATGGTCAGTTGACAACAACATACCTTCAGCAATCAAATCATCATCTCCACTCCAATACTGAAAGATTTTAATTCTTCCTAGTGATTCATCTGTTGGCTAATGAATCATGCAAACATATATCTATATTAGTAATCTACCCAATATGAATTTAAGAGGAACTCAATAGTAGTTGTAATTTACCTGCTCTGATTCGACAGACTTAGTAGGTTGGGACAAGTTAATATCCTCATCCAATATAATCTTGTCAAGTGGCCATGCAATTTTATGTCCAACAGCTTCATTAAGTGTGAAAATGGTTGGAGTAGGTCTCCAGACAGATGCATGTATAACTGTTGTGGACTTCACAAGTACAGCAGCTGCATTGCGACCCAATGGTATTCTACCAATCTTATATGTGTGTTCACTGGAGCAGAATTCTCCTTCACCAACAACCACCTCAACATTTGAACACCAATCAAGAAGCTGGCACCTAACACCTCCTTTGCTAACATTGCTTAAGTCAGACATGGAAACATCATCAGTCTGTCTCTGCAATGACCAAAAAAACACTTAATTAACCAAAACTTATATAAGTTGGCATTGTGAAACAATGAGTGCCAAAAGGTTTACCTTTTTACTAGCTAAGTTACTAACCAGATTCTGCAAACTTTCAAGCTTACTTTTTATTGTAACTCTTCATACAGTTGCAACCGCTTAATCGAATCATTGCAATATTTAGTTTATTTCATGAACAATTGCAACTTTTGATTTATATATTTAGTTTATTCACGAACAATTGTAACTTTTAGTTTATTTTATAAATCGCTATAACATTTAGTTATCTACCGTCGCATCTGTCGGTATAACTTTTTATAAATTATTATTTTTGATTTTTAATTTTTAGTTACCAGATGTATTTAAATGAGATTGTAACCGATTAATTGAACAGTTGCAACATTTAGTTTATTTGACGAATCATTGCAACTTTTGGTTTTATTTTACGAATCGTTGTAATCTTTAGTTTATTTGACAAACTTGACTAACCGTTGCAACTTTTGGTATATTAAAACATTTTTTTTATTTTTTTAAGCTAAAAATAAATTTTACGTTATATTTTTTGAGAAAGTTGCAATCCGAGTAAATGTTTTCTACGGTTGCATCTTTTTATTGTAACTCTTCATAAAATAGTTACAATTGTTTAGTTGAACCATTGCAATATTTAGTTTATTTCACGATTAATTGCAATATAAACTTTTTTTTTATAAATCATTTAATCATTTACCGTTGGTGTAACTATTATTTTTAATTCTTAATTTTTCATTACTAAAATGTATTTAGATGAGATTGTAACTGTTTAATTGAACTGTTGCAACATTTGGTTTATTTGACGAATCATTGCAATTTTTGGTTTTGTTTTATGAATCATTGTAATCTTTAGTATATTTAATGAAGCTTTACAACATTTGGTATATTTGACGAACCGTTGCAACTTTTGGCATATTTGATATATATAATCGCGTTTCTCGGTTAAAGTTCGTCATATTTTTTAGAAATTATTTAATTACTATAATATATTTAAATGAATTATTGTTACCATTTAATTTAACATAGTAGCATTTGTTTTATTTATCAAACCGTTGTAACATTTGGTTTACTTGTGCCTTTTGCAGTTGAGATTAGTTTTTTAGTTACAAAATAATTTTTTTTTAATACTAATCTATATAAAATAGCAATCTCAATAAATGTCTTTTGCACTTCTGAACAATTGCGTCTTTTTATCGTAACTTTTTGTAAATATTGGCGGTTATTTTTTTGTTGTGTTTTTTTATCGCAATTCTTCGTTAAAATATTGACAGTTACATGTTTTGTTGGCGGTTATTTTTTAGTTGTGTCGTTTTATCGCAACTTTCCGATAAAATATTGGCGGTTACTATTTTCGTTTGTGTCATTTTATCCCAATTTTCCGTTCAAATATTGACAGTTATTTTTTTTTGGTTATGTCTTTTTATCGCAACTTTCCGTTAAAATATTGACGGTTAATTTTCTCGGTTGTCTCTTTTTATCGCAACTCTTCTTTAAAATATTGACGGTTATTTTTTCTCGATTGTGTCCTTTTATCGCAACTCTTCGTTAAAACATTGACGGTTAGTTTTTTCGTTGACGGATATTTTTTCGGTTGTATCTTTTTATCATACATTTCCATTAAAATATTGATGGTTACTTATTTCGTTTGTGTCTTTTTATCGCAATTTTTCGTGAAAATATCAACGGTTATTTTTTTCTCGATTATGTATTTTTATCGCAACTCTTTATTAAAATATTAACGTTTAGTTTTTTCGTTGACGGATTTTTTTCGGTTGTGTCTTTTTATGATACCGTTCTGTTAAAATATTGATGGTTACTTATTTCGTTTGTGTCTTTTTATCGCAATTTTCCGTGAAAATATCAACTGTTATTTTTTCTCGGTTATGTATTTTTATCGCAATTTTCTGTTAAAATATTGACGGTTATTTTTTTCTCGGTTGTGTCATTTTATCGCAATTCTCGTGAAAATATTGATAGTTATTTTTTCTCGATTTTGTCTTTTATCCCAACTGTTCGTTAAAATAAATATTCAGATAAACGAAAAAATAATAAAACTATTAATTTTTGTGTTCAAAACTATTCTAAAATCACATTTCAAGTTTAATAGAATAAAGTATTTGAAACAGGAAGGTGGTAAGAAAGCGGTTCTTTCAAGTACTTTGGGGTCTTTAATTTGAGAGAGGCCAACATCCACCGATTTCAATCAACTTGCCAAGTATATGTTATTTGTTTCTTAATCAATAATCATATAGTATCTTTAATCAAACTAGGGTAAAAACCCGCGCTTCGCTGCGGGATATCTTTTATAAATTATTTTTGTTACTAATGACTTTTGCTTAAACTAAGATTATGTAGTACAAAGTTCACAATGAAATTTGTATTTTTTGGTTTAGACAATGAAAGTTGTCTTCTTTTTTTTGTAATACAAACAAAAGAGTATCCAAACTTGAATTTAAACAATACACAAATACGAAACTTGAATTTAATATAAATATGATTTGTAAAACTTAAATAAAATTTTAGAATTTGATGGTTATCAGATCATTTTCACCACTTCATCTCATTTAAAAACTTTATTTTGAATTTCAAATCAAATAAAACAAATTAATACACAGATATGAGAAGGTGACCGTGACACATTACTTAAGAAATCAATGCACAAAATTCTTCTTCTCTTCGTCTACCGGCCTTGGATTCATTAACTTCAACATCTTTAGAAAATTGCTCCACCTTCATCTTTAATCAACATTAACTAAATTGACCAAACGAACAATAGTGTATATATATGTACGGAAGAAGTGTATAAGCAGAGGTAGATGAGAAATTCCGACAAGTTTTCGGTAGATCCCATGGTACTTGCACAATCTCTCATTCATTCTTTAGATAGATACAAATACAATTGTGGATGTATTAATATTATACAATTGTCCAACCATCTCAAGAGATTCAATATGCATTACACGCTTGATACTTGATTGATTTAACTATTCCTAAGACCAATAGAATATATTACGTAAAGATCATCTATGGTCTCACAAGTCACAATACATGCATTCAAACTTTGGGGTGGACAACAATAGTTCCAGACCTAAATTATGACATTTAGGCAAAGTGAAATACACGGGAAACCTGAAGTGTAAGTAAATAAAACATTAATAATTCTAGAATCATTAATCTATAGATCTCTGTCCACATGAAATATTTTAACAACCATATTTTCCATTAAACGACTGCAAACACTGATAAAGTATAGGTAGCACTCCAATATATAAAGTACGCAGCTGTTATTTGCTAATTAAATTATTGATTTCGAGCAATTGTGTACTTTTGAAGTCTTCTTTACACGAGTCTCAACAATAAGTACTACCAATTCAAAACTTCCATAACTAAAATAAGTTGTATAAACCTACCATAACTCCCTGTCGATGAAATGCCTACAACACTACCAACAATGACAAGGAAAGAAAGATCTAGATGGTAATGAAAGCAAAAAACAATGTTGGGGAAGGACACTATTTTTTTTTTTTGGTAAAAGGGAAGGACACTATTTGAATCATGTTTGGAAAATAAGATGGTACTCCCAGTACTCTTTAAATCTTAATCAATAACAAATTTTGTCGGTGATTTTTCTGGTAGTTTATGGTGGTTATTAGAGCTCCTTCCGATGGCAAATCGATTCGACAACAAACCTTGTCGGCGAAGGCAAAACAAAAAAAATAATCTTCGTCTCTCCACGTTTTCAAAGCAAACAGCGAAGGCACTTTCTTTAAAGAGGTAAACGGCGAGCACCGGCGGTTGGGGTAGGAGTAGCGGCTGAAGGAGTGGAGGAAGAGTGGTGCTGAGAGTGACGAGGAGATGAAGGATGGTGGATCTTGATGTTAGAGAGATGTAGATAATCAGATTATGGATTCATGATCTCTTTTTCTTCTTCTTCTCTGCTTGATTCAACAGATTTATAGAAACTTTTTTTTTTTTTCTGATCGAGAGGAAGATGATGACGAAGAAGAAGAGACAGCCGTGTTTTGTCAATTTTTATTAGTCTCTCCATGTTTTCAACACTACTTTATCAAGTGGGCTTTTACTTTTGGGCTTTGTTATTTTATTTTTTTCGTCATACTTTTGGGCTTTGTTACTTTTTTTTCTTTTTGTGTGTTTTTAATAATATGAAACAACAGACAAAGGGGAGAGAAAGAGTGACGTTGCAGAATAGAAGATTATTATTGGCAAATAAAGTTGAGCTGTATTATTTAAAATGTTTTGATTAGAGTTTCTTTTTAATGATGTGTCATAACCAGGAAAGCTGAAAATGCTGATGTGTTAGATTAGGAGAGAATCCAATTGTTATTATTGTATTAATCCTATTGTTATTTTGTAATTTTTTATTTAATATAACTAAATAAAATTTTATAATTTAATGTTTTATTTGTATTTAAATTGTAATTATTTTTACTTCTAGGGATTAGTTTTTTATTTATGTAATTAGACTTTGTAATTATAATTATAGTCTCTATTGCCAATATTAATATCTAATGAAAAGATGATGTTTCAAAAGTAAAATTCTAGTATATTTTTCAGTTAATAATTTATTTTCGTAGCAAAGGTTATTTTTTGAATTTTTTCTTTAGTGATTTGCTATAATTAAATAAAATTTTTGAACTTAATGGTTTACCTTTATCCCACTCGGAACCAACTAAATAACTTTATTTTTAAAAAACTATCTTTATTTTCAATGCCAGTTTTCAAAAATGTCACATTTTTAAACCTTATAAAAATTGCTCCAAACAATATGAAATTTACCCAAATACATATGTAACATTATTAAAACATATACAAACTATCTTTATATGTATCTAAAATCTTATAAATACCGTATAAAACCTTTAAAAACCTTTAAAGAATATAAATTAATTTATATAATTTAAATCTTATTAATTATTTTATATCTTTTGCAACTTTAAAGAATTAATAATT